GGGGGGGGGGGGGGAGGGAGAGAAACATCAACATGAGAGGAACATCAATCAGTTGCCTCCTGTATGGACCCTGATGGGGTTGGACCTACAACATAGGTATGTGCCCTGACCGGGAATCAAACCAGCAACCCTCCTAGTGTTTCAAGATATTGCCTGTCCAAGCCTGCTTCCAGTTTTTCCTTTGTGCTAAGTCCTAGATGAACCTGGCTAGGGGAGATATGACTCAGGAGTTAGTGAGCAGGGAGAGGTCGCTGCTCCTGTGAGGGCCAGTGGGCTTCTTATGCATTTTTTGGAACATGCCCGGGCTCAGGGACCCACATCTCTAGGCATGGAATCCAATGTCTATGTTCAAGGTGCGTGACTGGGCATGCCAAGGTGTCAGAAGGCGCCGCCTCACCCTTCCACATCTCTTCCAGCTGGGGCCTAACAGTCACCAGAGCTCAACTGGCACCCAGTGGTTACAATCCTTCAAGGCACTTGGCTGCGCTAGAATATTTTTCATCTGTAAAATGGGAATGATGTAATGCAATACTCAAGGGTAACCCTAGAGATCGAATAACACCGTGAAAGTCGCCAAATGAGTATTTTCAAACTTCATCTTATTTCTACCAACATGAAACAGCAATCCCAAAATGGGAAAAGCCTTTGTAAGTACAAAAGCATTAAGAAGAACATTAATATTCAAATTTCAGTGAAAGATGCAAAAATGCATCTGCAGTAAAATTATGTTAAAAAAATACTGTACCTAGAAAATAACCAAAAAATAAGCAGGTATGTGTTGTTTTACAATGAAGATAAATGGCAATAATAGTTAGCATGTTAGCGTGGCTGGCACTGTCCTAACCTCCCTGCGTACATCATCTCATTTAATTCTCACAGCCACTTAATGGGGCCGATTTCATTACAGCCACATTTCCCAGCTAAGAAAATGATCTTCAAGGCTTAGTCACCTTCTCCAGGACAAAGAGCATGACTAACAGCCTTCGTCGTCTGTGGCTCACACTGAATGTGGTCGGTGAATGCCAGTGACAACCGATGATAAACCACCGGCTGGGTTTTCTTGCCAACCTGGTCCCAAAGAGGATGACGGGGCGTCTGTCAGGCCTCAAGTGAGACATGCCCACAGACCAGGCCACCAGTGCTTCCCAGAGCGGGCAGGAAGGCCGCTCCAGGGACAGGGTCTGGGGACGCCCACTTTTTAGCCTTTAGCCAAGGTCAGAATGAGAAACGGCATGAGCTAGAAAAATCTTTCTGGACCAGGGGACAGACAG